TGTTAATTTTAAAATAAATTTTATAATATAAATACTAAAAAATGTAAGAGAAAAGAAAATTTTTATCCGACGATGAGATTCAAAAGTATTCCGAGTAGTGATACCTACGAAATCTCTAGGTGAGAAGATTTTTTTTTTAAATATTACCAGTGTATTAGAGTATTTATAAAAAGTTTTCAATACAATAAAAATTTTTCTTTTTGTTATAAAATAATAAACAAAAATTAATTAATAAATAAAAAATAAGGTGAGAAAAAATAGAGAAAAAGAAAATTTTATCCGATTACTGGATTCTAAAAGTATTTCGAGTAAAGATATTTTAAAAATCTCTGGGTGAGAAGATTTTTTTAAAATATTACCAGTGTGTTGAAATATTTATAAAATCTTCAATATGATAAAATTTTCTTTTTTCTTCATAAAAAAATTTATAATAATAATTCAACAAATAAGATTAATAAAATTTCTAAAGAAGAGAATAAAATGTGTGTATAAACATATTAGCATTTTGCATTGTATGCACAATATAGTTTTTACGAAAAATAAATCTGAGCCTCCGAGGATGAGATTCTAAAATATTTGAGAAGCAATGCCTAAGAGATCTTTATGTGAGAAAAAGTTCTTCTAATATAACCAACTTATTGGAACATTTTAAGAATTATTTCAATAAAAAGGATTCTAATTTATTTTTCTCAAATAAAAATGAAACAATAAATTATAAAAGATAAAAAAAATCAAAATTTCAATGAACAGATGGAGTCAAGAAAGTTATTTTTCAAACACCGAAAATAAGACTGTTTTTATCAAAATCAATGGATAACACATAGTTAATTGGTATCATTTTAAACGGACGTTGTGGGGATGCTAATCTTTTCCCACACATAATCGACTCTCAAACCCAGACTGTTTCCTAGACCCTAAAATTATCTTTTTAATAAAATTTAATTAATTTTAAGATTTTATTAAAATGATATATTTTAATAGGTAACCAATCACATCTAGTAAAAAAAATCAGTGGTGACTATATTTTTTTTCATCTTTTTCCTTTCATTTCTAAATTTGTCGAACGAACATAAAACTGTTACGACATTATTGATTTCTCTAAGATACACAATTGTTAGAATTGAAAAAATGTTATAAATATTATTAAATAGATAGTATAATAGAAATATTAGAGGTTTTTACTACCGAATTTAAATAATTCATATCTCGAAAAAAATCATTAGAGACCTGTTTGAATATTGCAGTAAGGAACATTCGATATTCTCGTGTCAGACACTGATTAAGAAATTGCAACAAAGAAACCGAAGTAAAAAATTACTTCCAAAAATGGATTTCGAGATAATTGTAATGCTTTCCAGAAATGGATTTTCGGATAATTGTAATGCTTTTCAAAAATATATTTTCGAATAATTGTAATACTTTTCAAAAATACATTTTTGAATAATTGTAATATTTTTCATAAATGCATTTTTCAATACAGTAAAGAAGTTTCTGAAAATGAATTTTCAATAATTTACTGAGAAAGGATGTGAAGGACAAAAAGATAATTAACTCATGGATATTTAAATAATTTTGTTAAAAATTAATTTTTTGGGGATGTATTGAAATTTTTTTAAGTGTAAATGGCACCAGTCTTATAAAAAAAATGCCTTTTTCATTGGCAATAAAAAAATGATTGATAAAGATAGCATAACCAATTAGTTCGAAAAACAACTAAGTTTGAATTTATAAAATAATGGGAATATTATGCATCATTTCTCACAAAAAATAAAATAATGGAAATGTGGCGATATCATAAGATACTCATTTGATTTTTTTTTAATTTTTAATCAGAAAAGAAAAATTGAACGCAATTCATTAATACTTTGCTAAAACGAACACCCGAATTTTTTATTCAATTGTCAACGAATGATCCCTTTATTCAAAATAATGTTTGATTTTTTTTATATATGTAAAAAAGTGTTAAAAAAAGAAGATGGGGCTGTATCCCAAAATAAGAACCTGTTTTAAGATGCATTGGACCATACGAGTGTAAGCCCAATGATAAATTTGAAGGGGAAGTGAACAAAATCAAACCAACTAGGAATTAACAGAAGCTCACTGGTCAAAGGGATGAATTATCCCTCTAAATATTCCAACATTACTTAAGATATTAAAAAAGGTCTAAAATAAGTACAGTATAATTTTAGATAAATGTTGAAAGATGTATATATAATATTTATATTTCTTTGAAAAATGAATATTGAAGAATAATTTACACTGGAAAACTCCAATTTATAAGCTTTTTATGTATAAATATATAAATATTATTGCCAACTTAGATTAAAACTCGTGTTGCATGGAATCAAATTTGTTTTAGGTTTATTGCACGAAATAAATTTTAAAAAAAAAAACAAAGTGTGTTCGGTAGGCCATAGGTCACATGCTTTCTCAGCAAAGCTCCGCCACTGAAAAACCCTTCGGTACGGTGGAGAAGTCAACCCCAAACTTGGCTCCATTTGCCTAGATTAAGATTATTTTTACTCGCTTTGGGTTTACCCCATTTTTCCTTATTCAGCAGCTTAGCTACTATAACTAGGCCATTTTAAAAGCGAACAGTTATATGATAAAAAATAAAATTTATGGTATAAAATTTTAATAAAAATTATTTTTAAAAAAATAAAAAAGTCGAATATTTAATATTTTTATATGTATTTAATATGATGATTAAAAAAAAAAAAAGGGTGAGAGGACGTTTCTTAATTAGGGAAACAAGTTTTCTGTTTATCATATTAGTACATTTGTCTCACATCACATATAACTAGGAAAAAATTATAATGATAATATTTGAAAAATTATGACAAATAAAATAAGATTTCGTAATAATTTTTTGTTCTTACTACGAATAATAGATAAATTTACAATAATAAATTTCATTGTTGTATAAAATATTTAAAAATTTAATTTAATAACAACTGTAAAATTTACAAAAATATCGCAACATTGTTTTGTGTAATTACAAAATAAAGTTGTTAAAATTATTTTTTCTAATAATGATAATTATAGCTTCAACACAAGCTTAATTTCTTAATGATGTCTCCAATGAATCATTATTCGATTGCAAGCAACTTTCATTGGAGACCTTAGTAAGGTTAACACAAAATGATCTAGTAGGAGTAGCAAATCTAAGATTTCTAAGCAGTTTTAACCGCCCTCATGCATTAAAAAAACTAAGCTACGCAGCTAGCTTTTTACTTCACTTTGGTTTACCATTTGCTTTGCAACTAAGCAGGGAGTGAATGATGGGTATGGTCGAGTTTTGGCCCCTCTTGAATGCATGTTGATAATCATAATTATTGCAAGCAATTTTCATTGGAGACCTTAGTAAGGTTAACACAAAATGATCTAGTAGGAGTAGCAAATCTAAGATTTCTAAGCAGTTTTAATCGCCCTCATGCATTAAAAAAAAAAAAATACAAAACTAAGCTACGCAGCTAGCTTTTTACTTCACTTTGGTTTACCATTTGCTTGGCAACTAAGCAGGGAGTGAGTGATGGGTATGGTCGAGTTTTGGCCCCTCTTGAATGCATGTTGATAATCATAATTATTTCTTTTTCTATGTAATAAATGATAAGAAATACATCCATATTTAAAGGTGTAACTGAATTAAAAATGAACTAATTTTATTATATTTATAATTTATTTGTTTAATTAATAAATTTAAATATTATTTATAATTATTTATTAAATTTAATAAATAAAAATAAATTAAACAAATAAAAATCTCACTTATTGATAATCTATTTAACAAATGTTATATTCATTTACACCCTTAAAAATGATAAAAGGGAAGGGTGGGGAGAAGGGTGCTTGACCCTTCTTAAATTAGAAGTGAAGATAAGAATTTTGAAGCTGGGTGTAGATGGCAACAGGAGCTTTTTATTGTCTTTTGTACTGTTCACTGGGTAACAGAATATTTATTCCTATCCACAGATTCAGAGTCCAGAGTCCACACCAATCAATGTGTGGGGGCACTTCTTTAATGGATGACATATATTTTTGAAGATTTTTTTTTTTTTATCAAAGCTTGGACAAAATTTTTGAAGGGCAAAGCAACTCAAAAGAAAATATAGGCAACTATGATGCCAATAAAATGCCAAATAATTAATAATAATGAATAATTGAAGGACAGCTTTCCATATGCTTTGAAGAATCAAAATAATGCCATTTTTTTCTGATATAAATTGATTCATATATTATTAAGTAATTCATTTTGTTGAGGCTTTTGATTATGGACAATGACTGACATAAGTTTTGAAAGGTTCTTGTTCAAAATTATTAGCTTTGAAGATTATACACCGTCACCCTTACTGTCCTTACATGGTGTCTAAAGATTATATACATAGGACAATTTTTTCTTTTATGATTGAATTTTAGAAAACTTTAAACCCTTAACTACCTTCATAATGTTCTAATTCATACCCGGATTAGACATACAGGAGATGCGTGCGAACATACATATACACATACGAATACGTAAGTTTATTATAAGGTTAAACAATTATCGAAAATAAATATAGAAAAAAAAAAAAGTAATATGATGAACACTTGAAAATGCTAATAGCTATACACATTTTCCTCGACTGTGGAATTAGATTAACTGCTTCAATATTTTTTTACCAAAATATTTACAATGACAATTTTGAGTTAAAAAAAATGAAAATTATTGGAAAAATAAAAAATATAACAGTAATAATTTCTTATATATATATATATGGATCCTATGGAGCATTTAGTACTCTAGGGTATTGAATATGCCCCTTTTGGAGGATGGACTGAGATTTGAACCGGAAGTTTTGAGTAAGGAGATACAAACATATACTACTGAATGAACAATAATATTTCTTCAGGTTTATCAAACCAAGGTAAATGCACAAAAACTATATTTTTTTCACCTTTCGAGGAATTGATAAGCAAGTTTCATGCATAACAACAAGAGAAGTGAAAAGATATCAGGAATAAGATAAAGGTATGCTTGTACAGTGGCTTTCAATAAAGCCGTTCTTTTTTTCAAAAAAAAAAAAGAAAAAAATTAGTTCATAAACTTTATGTATGCAATAATTTGATGTAATAAAATGCATTCATTAACATAAATAAGTGTCAGAGCGTGGGTCTGGTCTTTCCTAAGCGTGAGCTCCTATTTTTTGGCACAGACATCATGAATTGCTACTGCAACCTAACAACTTAAACCTATGAAAACCTGTATGAATTTGTTAGGTCTTTCCATTAACAAAGGATTCCTTTTTAGTGGACACTGTAATTGGGAGGTCCCATGACTACATGTGATGTTGGCATATTCTGGCAAAAGCCTCTGATCTGCAAAATGGCTCTGATTCTGCCCCTTGACTAAGCTTAATGCATTATATATATATCGGACTCTCTCCCCATGAGAGTTTACTTATCATCGTCATCTTTTCAGCAACACGTACCACCATTTGCATTGAAAAACCTTTCTCTTTCTCACATATATATGGCAGGAGCTAAGCTAGCACAGTGGAAGTCTTCTATCCAATTGAAAAGGTGAAAACTTGGAAGAGGCAAAAAGGAACCAGAAAATCAAATGCTAGAAATTACCATTTCTCACATTTACAACCACCGTGAACATGAACATGAACTTGAACAGTGAAAACAAAAATAAATTACAGCAGCACTAGTCTCTTTTTCTTTTTCCCTGTTTATTATGTGGAATGAGACTCTGGACCTCTCTATCTCATTTATCTCTCCCTCTCTTCTTATTTATTTAACCAAAAAATAGATAATAATGAAAATAAACATATAAACTCCACTGACTATATGCTACAACCCCACCAATGTGTACTCACCTATAAAAATTCAATTCAAATGCTTCCGCTCCGATGCACCGTTGCCGGATCCTGACCTACTTGCCGGGCGGATAGCTGCTAGAACATCAACTCAGAGGAATTGCTTCTTGACATTTATAGACATTTATCTGCCTGACATGTGGCCAATGAAACTTGACAGTGCTAACAGGTTTGCTTCTGACACTGATATCACTCACCTAGTCACCTGTGCCCATTGAAACCGGTTTGCTGGCTACAATTTTAAAGCCACCTCCGGCCCCTTCATCTACCTCCTCATCATAGCAGTCATTGTCGTCTTCGTCTTGATTTTGCTCACTTTCTACGTCTTCCATTACATGATCATGTTGGCGTTGATCGGGCTCAGAAGAAGAAGGGGGCCATTGCTGCACTGGGCGTACCATCAATGGGACTGAGTTCTCGGGTTTTAATTGATTGGAAGAGCTGTCATGTTTGTTCTTTTCTCTATATAAAACATCCAGTTGGTAAAAGTAGGGACATGTTTTTGAATCCTCGGGCCTTTTCTTGTTGCTATCTTTCACCTTCTTGAAGTACTTGTTTATGTTCTCCCATTTCTCTTTGCATCTTTTGGCGTTGCGATTGTAACCAAGCTTTTTCATTGCAGCTGATATCTCCTCCCATAATGGTCCTTTAGGGCCACTATCTTGGTATTTAGCCTCAAGGCTACTCCTTAGCTTAATCAATGCTTCAACCTCAACTTTAGGCCATCTTGAAGAGCTTGGTGTGTAACTTGGATCGCCATTATCTGTCTTCGACACGTCTAAATTCACCGTTGGCAGTGGTACTAGTGGTGGAGCAGACGCTGGCACTACTGCTGCTGCTGGCGGTGCAGCTGGTGCCACTGCCGATAATGGCTGCGGTGAAGCTTGTAGAGGCGGTTGCGGTTGCTGAGAGGGTAGTGGATTATTTTGTGCCTGCTCGGGATTTTGCTGCTCAGATAATTTTTGCAAGAAAGCCAGTACTGCTGCGTTTTTCTCCGCTGCTATTAATCTTTCTTGGGCTAATATCTCGCGTTCTCTATTTATTCTTGCCATTTCTTGCATCCTCCAAGCTTCTTCACTGACCATTCTTTCGTGCTCACGTTTCTCTATTGCTTCCAAGAAATTCTTCTGCATCTCCTCCTGCTTCTGAATCATCTCCTTCATTTTCCTCTCGAAAAAATCCTTCCATTTTCTTTTCCTCTTCCTCCGATCTTCTAATTTTAAATCCGATGAGGTCGATGAGGAGGTCGAATTCGACATTAGATCTGCTAAAATGTTAGGAAAAGAAGGAATTGTAGGGTTTGTTGATGGGAGGGAAGGGACTGTAAGGTTTGTATTTGGTGGTGCAATGTTTTGTGACAAACTGACGAGTGTCGTTGATGGAACAGTGACATGGGAAAGACTCGGAGGATTAGCTGCCGGCATTGCCGTTTGAGCTTGAGGCTTTAGTTGGGGTGGTGGTGGTGCTGCTGCTGCTGCTGCTGCTGGCGATTGAATGGAGGGATGATTTTCGAGGGCTTCTAATTGATCAAAAAACCGATAAGTCTTGCCATCTGATTTACCAGTTCGGCCATCTTTGGTTCTCTTGTGATACTTGTAAACGTTCTCGAATTTCTCCTTGCATTTCTTGGCACTTCGTTGATAACCAAGTTCTGCTAGTTTCCTGATATCAACAATAGAAAAAACAACTTCATTTGTGTTTTTTGTCCATTCTTTAATTCAGTAATAAAACAAACCCAAACAGCAGTATTCGCACATAAAATAAACTATGAATTGAATTTGATATATAATTGAGACAAGAACAATTTGAGAAGCAAAATGAGGGTAAAAAGGAAAAGGAAATGAAAGAGCTCAGGACAAAAAGGATGATAGAATTTATGACAAACTATGGATTGATAATGATGAACAGAGTTTGAACCTTAATTACTAGAATTAAGACTTCAGCACTTTATCAATGCTCCATACAACTATAGGCGATGAAAACAGTTTTCCACATCCAAGGTGCAAGAGCAAGACTTCTTATCTTATTTTTTAGAGTAAAATGAGAGTGAAGAAATGAGTTAGGGAGGAAGAGATACGAACTAAAACCTATGAGCAAAACTCAGCTTAAGGTTCCCAGTAAAAATATTGGGAAAAGCAAATGCCAGAAACGATAACAAATCCCATACCCCAAAGTGTCCAAATATCTTAATCATATGACATTGAATTCCCCTTGAAGATGCTGAATTCCCTCAACTTGAACTTGTAATTTTCCTCCTATAAAATATAATTCTCTCACTTCCCCGTAAGTACAAATCTGAAAGTAAACAATTCGGAAACACAGATCTCCACTCATGAAACTTTAAAACGAACTCAAATCTTCATTGAATTATCAACAAAAAAAAAAAGGGAAAATAAAAAAAAAATGATCACCTGGAAACCTCTTCCCATAATGGACCCTTAATGCTAGCGTCACGAAAGGTAACATCCATGTCGGACCTTATTTTCAAAAGTGCCAAAGTCTCCTGCCTCGGCCATCGGTTGCCTCCGAAAGAGCGGTCACCTTCATCAATCCTACCTCTATCATCTTCACCAGAATTGCTATTATTGTTATTCTCGTTGGAGCCAAGCATGGTAATAGCAGCTTCACTGCTGCTGCTAACCGTGGCGGCAGCAGCAGCTGCAGCGGCGATGTTGCCACCAGTGTCTCCGCCCCCGCTGCTACCAACAACACTAGCGCTAGTGCCACCACCACCCAACATATATGGTTGTAGATACACAGCTTCTTCTTTCCTTTCTCTTCTTTGGCACCCTTGGCAAGAGCTTGCAATTTTACTAAAAGCTTTCAATCATAAAGGAAAAAAAAATTAAATTAACAAATATTAAAAATATATATATTTCTACTTTATATGTCTCTATTCATATGATCCTATCTATCAACATAGAAAAAAGAGAGTGGTGAATTTTTTTTTTCCCCCTTTCAAAAGGGTTTTTGTTGAAGATGGGTGAATTTATTAATTTTTTTTGGTTTGTGGATCTGCTTGTCAATCTCAAGAACTTGTTTTTTCTTTTTTTAATTAAAATTGAGTTTTTTTTTTTTTTTCTTTAAGCAGTGGAATCTTCAGCGTTTGTTTTTATTTTATTTTTTTAAAGGGGTTGGTTGGTTAAAAAGAACAGCGAAGAGGGAGGGAGGGACTGCTCTTTTTCTTTCTCTTTTCTCTCAGTAATAATTAAAAGGTGGCACAGAAAGATATAAAATAATACAAAAAAGATAAATAAATATTTCAGAAATTTATTAACAGCTGCGCAAAGAGACGAGTGTGATAATTAGTTGGTTTTTGTCTGTCCTATATTTAGTTAAAAGCCGCCCGTCCTCTTCAGCTTTATATACCTTTCCCTTTTTTTCTTTTTTATTTTTTACATTTTATTTTTTAAAAAAATTATTTATTTTATAAAAAATTCATGATTTAAAGATAAAATTATAAGTTATAAATATTAATTTTAAATTTATTAAATATCATGATTCAATTTAACTATGTTTTTAAATTATTTTTATTTATTTTTTCTCCTTGTGTTAGAGATGAAAATCATGAAAATTGAAGATCAATTTTCTTTTTTAGGGGGGTTTCTTTATTAGATTTCAGACTTTCAGTGACGGTTGGCTATATTTTATTTAAATTACTAAATTAACCCTAAGCAACTTCAACTTATAGTGCTTAAATTACTAAATTACACATGTAGTGCTTTTATAATTGAATTACTAAATTACCCTTATGGTGCTTTAATCATTGAAGCCAATGTTTTAAATGGAAAATTTTATTAATGAACTTGAAATTTCTCAATTTGATCATCTAATTACCGATCTAGGTTTTTTTTTTTTAAGCCTCAAATCTTTAATTTATTATCCAAAACACTCTTAAAGTTTTGTAAAATGATTGAATAACTGTAAAGACTTTTTCTATTTCATTTTTTTTCAACTTGTTGGATGAGACAGTGATACACACAACTTCGTGGCCAAAAGGAGTCATACGGACCAATGGGAACAATAGAAAGTTTGAAAAAATATTGGGGGCTTTCATAATTGTTAGAAGAAAAACTTTGCATAAACTTATCTTAAAAAAGAAACATTTGCAGTGGAATCCACCGTTGAATTAACGTGGTTAGATTTATTAGGGGCCAAGCCTTTATGAATTGAAGTAACTGGTGGCCATTTCTGTTAGGTTGCAACCTACCACAATAAATAAGAGAAAATTTTCGATGGTTATGATCGAGTTATATTAAACTTGATAGATTGATTAATTATATCAAAAAATAAAAAACAAAAAGAAAATCATAGTGAAATTTTTAGACCATTTAGCTTGGTGAGTCAATTAGATTGATGTTTGCTTAATTTTGTCCCAAGAGAGGTGCCTTTTAGCCATACAATAAGTGGTGGTTGTGATTGTAGGCAACGTTTCTTACATGGTTTTCATATTCTAAGGTCACTATTTATCAATGCACTCGTTCAATGAAAAATGACTTCTTGTTGTGATAAGATTGTTGAAAACTACTTTTCTAACATTATTTTTTTAATAAGATTTGTTATTTCATATTTAAATTTATATTTAAAAAAAAAAAACGATGTAGTCTTATTTATTTCACTTATCTTATTTCAAATTTTCATAATGAAATATGGTAATTGTGTAGTAATTCAAGTTCTTAGAAAAATGTAATCATACAATTAAAGTTTGTTTCAAGAAAGTTTTAAAAAATTTATTGTGGAGTGTATATCAACTATAATTATTGTATTACAATTAATTAATCATAAATTTAAAATTATGTAAAATTTATCAAAAAAAATTTTTAAAAATTCACAATTATAAGTGATGTATTCCTATATAATTATTGCGATTAGATAATTGTAAAATCATAATAAAAAAAATTAACATGTAAATCTTTGAGATATCAAAATAAATTAGGATCAAATTTCTTGGAAGAAAGTCATTCAACCAAACTCAATAAACTATGGATAAAACTATTTCAAAGTAACAATTCTAGTTTGATCTAATTAATCATTATCTGATTTTAATTAATAAAATTAAGGGATTGAGACTTAAAGTTTGATTTTCTTTTTTTCACATACTCTTTCTTGCACGTATAAAAAAATGTATTCAAAAGCATAAAGGTAATGGGTCAAACCTAAAGGACTTACGTAGCTAATGAGGTAGATAAGAATTGATAAGAAATATGGGGGTGAAAAGATGAATGAAAATGAAAGGATTAAAAAAAAAAAGAAATTCTTGTACAACTTGCCATCAATTTCAGTAACTCAATCATTGATTTGGGTTAAAAAGAAAACAAACAAGTGGATTGGGCAAAATATAATAATGCAACAAAAATGGGGCCCATTCAATCAATATGCCATTTTAATGTAGAAATAATCAGAGATGAGCATTCACATGGGAGAAGTACACAATCCTAGACAAGGGCATTTTAGTCAGAAAAATAATTTTTTTAAAATTAAAAATAAGCTTTTGAAGCTATTTTTGAACAAAGATTTATTTTTTTACTATTATGAAAAAAGGTGTATAGCACGCCAATTGCGAACATAAACCCTAATCTCACTTCAAGTTTCAGAAAAATAAATGAAATGTGGAGTTTTCTTAACCATAAAAAAAAATTTTTTGCTTGTACGGGAATTATACCTTTCGCAATGCTAAATTCGGGTATCTTTAGAAACTTATGCGATTTTTTATGTACAACACTTTGAAGAAAAACAGAAAAAAATTTTCTTCTTTCTTATAAATCTTGTTTTTGTTTGACAAATTTTAAATAAATACATCTCCTTACTCTTTCATTATTAACTTAAAATATTTTGAGGGCTTTCTTCCTCGTTTCCAACACCACTAATATAATTTAGATCAAACCGACCAATGCTTATAAATATAATTGATTAAGATTAGTTAAAATATTATTAAAAATTTTAAATTTAATTTAATAAATTTATGTAATTATTATTAAAATATGATATTCAACAAAATTTTAAATCTTATCACTTGTAATATTTTTTTATCTTCAAATTATAATTTTTTTATAAAAAAATTTATCTAAAATAATTATATTGTCATTTGAAATTTTATTAACATTTTTTATATGTATCTTTTAAAATTAATGCATTTTTTTCTATGTAAAAGCGAATCTGAAATTTTTTTCAAATAAAATAAATATGTGGCTACCAATTGACATACTTTTTTTTTAAAACTAATTGACGTATAACTTTAATATTCTAATTCATAAATTCATAATGCACGAGATAAGGAAATTAACTTGCGTGCATTAGTGGGGTATTCGGGAATTATATTAATAAAAGATATATTCTCGAAGTATCGTTACTGTTTATTCTCTAAGTATTTTTTTATTTTTAATTTTTTGTACACGTATTTTACTTGTGCCACAATTCATAGAATTTTTTCTTTTTTAAAACAAGGCGTTAATTGTTTTTTTTTTTTTTAATCAAATTGCTTAGCTGGCAGAAGTTTGGCTTGGACTTGTCTGGCTGGCTTGGAATTGGATAGATGCTCTCCCACCTCCCCACTTACATTATTTACAGCCGTTTTCATATTGATTTGTTCAAACTCGATCGGTAGATCAATTTTAAAAATATAAAACTCGTCATTAATTTTTTTATTAAATATAATTAATCACTTTAAAAAATTTATTTTTTAACAAAATTTTAAAATTAATTAAAATTTATAAAAAATAATTTTTATTTGTAAAAATAATTTGAATTTGATAATATAATTATGCGTAAAAAAAATTAACATTCTCAATCTATTAAATTTAAAAATGATATCAATTAATAATATATTATCATTTAATTTTGATTAAAAATAATCTTGATTTTGATATTTAAAATAAGTCTCTTATCTCCTCTTATTGTCATAATTTTTTTATTCTATTTCATTTTTTTTTGCAAAACTTTTGTTTTTAATAAAAATTATTATTATCATTTTTTATTGAAAAAATAAATGAATATTGTTGTTGAAAATTTTTTAAAATATTTCAATATATTGACAATATTAAAAAAATTTCTCTTGCTTAAAGATTTTTTAAGAATCAATGTTAGAATTTTTTTAGAATCTCTTTCTCGGATGTTTGTGTTCATTTTTAAATTAAATTAAATGCATAAAATGCAAATGATAAGATTAAGATGTTCATGCATTTATGTGAATCATTTTATTCCTTTTGAAAATCCCCGTTTCTCTTTTTATTTTTTTAAATTAAAAAATAAATATAAATTTTTTATATTGAATATTTTTTAAAATATTTCAATATTTTTGTAAAATTTTAGAAAAATACTCTAATTTAAGGATTCTTAATGAATTACTATTCAAATTTTCTTAATATCATATCAAGATTTTCATTTATTTTTTTTAAATTCCTTCAATTTATATTATGAAATACAAATAAATTAAATTTATAATTTAATCACTTTTCTTAAAAGAAAATTTATCTTTATTATTACTAATGTAAAATAAATATTTATTTCTTCTAAATTTGAATTTTAAATATACAAATAAATAATTAAATATACTGAATAAAAATAAAAATGATCAAATTGAGCCAATCAATTACCCGATCAACGCTAGTAGGAAAATTGATCAGAACAAGTCAAAAGATCCAATCAAATGGATCGATAGATGGGTCAAACGATTCCGTAGTTGGTATGAGGAATGAGTCAAGCGCACGAATTCAGGTCGACGCATGAATCTTTTCCTTTAAAACGTGTCGTTTCACTTCAGTTAAATCCAAAATCCGACGGTCGGCCTCCGTCGCCGTCTCTAAAATAAAAGGTGTAAACAAGTATTCGGTGAGAGTAAATAGGTAAATAGTGAGGGTGGGTGGCTGACTTTTTTTTATTTACTGGGCCATAAGGAAAAGTTACAATATAGACAAGAGGTTTACCTTCACATGGGGTGGGCAATGGGCATGTGATATGATGTGAATGTATGTACCCTTCCATATCTGCTGTCCACCATGTGGATTAACCTCTACATTTATCTGGCACCGCCTCAGCAAAAGCAACCACCAACGTTTATTCTTTTTTTTTTTTCATTCTTAAAATTACAAGTTGCCAATTTTCATCACGCATATATTCTCTTTTTTATTTTTATTTTTGAATAAAGAATTTCATTTGGTTGAATAATTTTTTAAGTGTTTAAAATTATATGCTTCACTTGTTTTTTTTTTTTTCCCGAACCCGACTTGTTTAACTTGGCTGATGCAACAAAGCAACTCTACAAAGAAAATTTTATCTTGTATTGTAAAAAGGAAAGAAAAAAAAAAGGCAATCACTTGAACATGACTCGCCGGAATGGGCTAAAATAATGCTACAATGACTTGCAAACTTTTTCAATTCAATTATGATATCTGCACTTATCCTATTGATTCTGCTGCTTTGTAATTTATAAATTTAAAAGATAATAAAAGATAAAGCAAAGAGATTATTTGATACTTAATTAAGATTTACAATGATTATATTCAGTTATTCTTCATTGTTTTCTCTAATATTCTTCATATTATAAAACTTCACTTGCCGTTAAAAAAATAGATTTTCAAGTGTAAAAATGATTGTAAGAGTAAATTGGAAGTAATCATCAAAGTCACAAAACCATGTGCCAAGGACTTAAATTAATGCTTATGCTTGCAACTGCCGAAGGATAAGCCATTTAGATTCACTAATTAGAGTATAATTAGAACATGGAAGCATGTGTAACAATGATCCCCAAAACAAATTAGTGGTAATTAAATGATGAACAATGATAAGATTTTATTATATATTAAGGTTAAGGATATCTTAAACTTTGTTCAGTTAATTTTTTTCAAATGAGGTTAAAAATTCATTTTTATATAAATTTAATGCATTTAAAATTTTATTCTCAAAATATTTGTTACAAATTAATAAAAAATTATTTACCAATTGGATAAACACTTGTGGTAATGATAAGAGATTTTTTTTTATTAACACAAACAAGGTGATGACCCACCAAAGTACAAATTTAGGATAAAAAAAAAGTGGGTATAGAAGGACCACATAAGGGGCAATGAAAGCACTCAAAAAGCCCATATTGAGCAAAGAAAAGGGAGGGGGAGGAGGCCCCCATGTGCTGCTTGCTAGAAACAATTAAGTTAGAATGGGAACAGCAAAACACGTTCCTCTCACTCACGTCCCCTTCTCTACTTTTCCCCTTTTCCTTTACTCGTGTCCACGTCTATTGATGTGAGACGCAAAATTGAATAACAGGATAAGCCTTTGTGGGGCTATCAGTATCACACTTTTCTCTTTGGTAGCACTCTGTGACTTCACTTCCAAACGGCCTACAATTCCTAGAATAAAGTTTCGTTTATTTCGTAAAAAATAATTTTTCAAAAATATTTATATTTTTTTAATTAAAGTACATTTTTTATTATTTTAATGAGCTAATAAAAAAATATTTTTTATTGTTTAGTTGGTTTTTAGAAAATCTATTTTTTTTTAAATAATAGTAATATAACTATCAAAATATTAAAAATTATATTTTAATAATAATATTTAATATTAAAATATTCTTCATTAATATAAAAATACTTAAAATAAAATTATTTATTATTTATATTATAATATTATTTATTAATAATATTTAATAGTATATTATATTAATAGTATATTATAATACTTATTAATTAAATTAATAATATTTATTATATTATTATTATTATTTATTAGTATATTATAATATATATTATTAATATATTATATTAATAATATATAATTTATTAATATAATATTATTTAAAAATAAAATTATGATCAAAAGTATTAATAAATAATTCTACTCATAAATAATTTTTTTCAAAAAATATTTTTTTCTTTTCAAATTCATAAGACAATTTATAAAAAATGATCTTATTTTTATTTATTAAAAAATCATTTTTCGATGATCAACTAATTTTTAATCAAATAAATATGTAAAAATATAAAAATTATTTTTCAAAAGTAATTTTTTACGAAATAAACGGAGCCTAATATTCATCAACATTCCAATCTAAACCTTTTAATTTTTGCTCTAATATTGACGTTACATAAAAATATAAATTTACAACTCTATTTAGAATGATAAATTAGATTTACTATTTATTTTTTAATGGTTAAACCATAAAAAATTAAAATAAATAGATATTGAACTTATGGTTTAACTGTAATTATAAATTTAACCTATCTCCTTGAATCATATATAATTATAAATTTATTCTTAACAAAAAAAAAGAAAGTCAGACAATTATTCATAGATACTTGTGATTGCGATTTATTGTCATGCTACATTATTAGTCTCATCATTAATTTTTGTTAAGGCTAAAGTGCAAAACAGTGATTCAAAAGATACTAAGAATGATTAGTAGCAGGAGAGAACACACAAAGGAAAAAAAAAGTGTTGTTTAGCAGCAACATTGCAAGCAAGCTTATCTTTCTACTTTTTTTTTTTCTTTTTGCACTTTGGTTGATATGAATGATATGGGGCTTCAAAATAAGGGGTGAACCATGACATGAAACCACCCTTGCCTGGCTAGATGTTGATTTTTAATGGGGTTTTCAATGTGTCTATTCTCTGTAATTTTATGGGGTTTTAATCTAATGAATCTGATAGCACAATCTGACAAACTAAAGGAGTTTGCATTGCCCCCACTATCTGCCATCAGCAACATGAACCCTACTGTTGCAGTGCAATGGACCAGGAATTTTCATTTTTGTTGAAGCAATGGTAGAAATGAAAAAAATGTTTTCCAGTCATGAAAGAAAACAAAGCCATTAATTTCTAATTTCAGCTACATGGGAAATTTACAATTATTAAAACTCAAAAGAATTTAATAAATCACTCATTTTCCTTCCAAATAATAAAATTGAGAATCTAATTGTATATACAAATTAAATATAAATAATTTTTACTATATTCCTGATTTATTTATTTAATTAATGAATTATGAAATATTATTTATAATTTTAAATTTAATAAATAAACATAAATCAAACTTATTCACAAACCGTTTGACGAACATTTTATTTTGTTTACACAAATAAATTAAACATTAACAAATATTTTTATATTTGTGATCTGTTCAATTAATTAAAAAATTTTGAAACATTATTTATGATTATTTAATAAATTTAATAAACAAACAAAAACTAAATCTGTTCATGAATTATTCATTAAATATTCTATTTCACAGATCACCTGAAACTACTTGATAGCAACAAAAGAGCCTCATATTTTCAATAAAAAAAAGTATGCATTAAGCACTATCATAGTTTCAACAAAAAAAACTAGCTCTAAAGGTGAAAGTTTTGATTGAAGGTTTAAACTTCCTCAATGTCCAATCCTGATTTCCGCAATAAGCACAAAGTTCAGACAGCTGGATAAGACAGATAAGAGGGAAAGGGGGAAGTTATGGAAGTATCACCCTGTTAATGCATTATTGCCAGTAAATATGCAAATAATATATACAGCATAAAAAGCACCCAAAGAAGATATGGGGCGAAATTCATCCAGTAATGATACCCTTTTTAGCTGCTTAAAGCAAATAAAGGTCCTCATCAAACTATATCACATTGTACATGAAAAATCTAAGCCACTGTCAATCTTTAAGCTTGAAAAGACCATATAACTACAGCTTGTAGTTTATAGCAAAACAGACGGTGGGTCAGACCCGTTTTATGTCTGGGATGACAATTCAAAACAAGCAGAAGAAAACAACAGATTTCAAACAACCTTCTCCATTCACATCAACTGCCGACGCCACGGTAATAAACTTACCACAGTTCTACAGTTCCAGCATTAATTTCACCCAAGAGAGCAATTATATTATAAAATACAATTGATTCATATAATCATTCTTAAAGGAAGACATTTATCAAGTCCGAGATTCAAATCCCAGCAATTACAATCCTTACTTTATCCTTAAGCTGCGGCCTCCTTTATACAATATATATAATATTACAAATAAGTAAGAACCTAATAAGTTAAATTAACATGAGGTTTTCTGGACTTAAGGGAGTATTATATATGATATTCTCAACATAAATCTTCTAGTGGGGCATGAAAAAGGAAGTAAATCTTTGGTGGTCTAGTATATCATTTTTTTTACCGGTAATTCCTATATGAGCAACACTTCAGATCCCAAAAGAAAAGCATGCATCATCAAATAGAATTTAGTAGTTTGTCATAGAGAAGTAAATGTCGCTTTGTCAAATAGTACCCCATTTTGATCAATTGCTGGTAGGGAGAGAGGAGAATAAATATAAAAAAGATATATAAGACAATAACGGTACAGCTGTGTCAAACCATTAATCAGACTGTATCTGTAGGATTCTAAGTCATATGCTTTTCCTTAAAATCAGTTGTTTCCTACATCATGTTCAATGCATATTTGAATTCAAACTAAAGTCCATAGGCGAAACTCCAATGGCTCTCTACCAATGGAATAACAGAGGTTACCCTATCCAAAATAAGATAGTAGCCGCATATTTAAGTAAGAATAGAAGTTAATCACAAATGAGGTTATGCAACAATAAAAGATAATGAAATCTGGAGTGTAATTCTGGTTTTAAGAATAAGGTATTACAGGTCATTTATAAATATGTAATAAAAGCTAAAAGAACAGAATCTTACCTGCTAGTCTTTTGAAATGATCGCACATATTTCTTGGCAACAATTGGCCAAAATGAAAAAGCAGTATCAGCACAAAAAGGCAAGAATCATCAAGAAAAGTAAACTAAATTAGCAATCATTTCACCTGCACATTTCCCCCAACCAAATCATCAACAAGCCTGCACATTTTGGCCCCTCACTCCATCAAAACTTCGGTTTCCTTTCTAAACCTGAGTGAGATCAAGCATATGCGGGTCTCCTTCAAGATATGAGGAGAGAACAAATGCATCCTAGGTAGCAGGTCCTTTGCAGTTTCCAACTTTATTTTAAGACAGTTAACAGCATATGGAATATTATGGAAGCAATACGCTTATCACGCCCAATATAATGTTAAACATTTTTCAACAGTTAAAAGAGATCTAATCATGAAACCCATGGATGGTGGATTCTAATTTCTTGTAGCTAATAAACCATTGTTCTGGCAATGGACCGTCAGATCAATCTTAAACATTCACTTTCCAGAATGAGAAAAACTTCAATCACAACTGCTAACTTTTCTCATGTTTCTCTTATCCAAGAGATGACGCATTAAATTATTATATCAGCACCTCTTGGTTATGGATCTTCCATAAGGATTATAAAGCACATAATTATAAATATATCCTTCTTTGGTAGGTTTACCCTGAAATAAAAATGGTTTCCGAGGAGATTGCCAAAGGATTAAAGAGGAAAAGCGGACAATAAGATAAGTATAACTACCCTATACACCAGCAATGGAATTTAATAACTGCAAAAGCTGATTTATATGTCTATGATATAAGGAAGTCAATACGAGATTATTAAGTTAACATATTTAGTTAAATGGCTACATAATCCACCACCAGTGTATATGATGATAATCCATAAGGTAAGACAGCTGCCTTCCACTGCTCACGCAATAACAACTGGGTATTCCAGGCAGAATCCATCAAACTCTTCTTACCTCTATCCCTACTACAAAAAAGCTATTATGTATCACCTCTAAATATACTAAGGCAGGAATTACAGACACTCAAGACAAGGATTTGAAGGCTACTGACTGCTGATATACCTTCTGACTCCAGCAAATAAAAATATATATTTGAAGGAACAGCACATCACAATCATCAGCAATGTTTGCCATCATAGTATCAACAAGAAATCCATTCCATGCAGGATACATCTGTCAAGTCCTAGGTACCAGATACAGGATAATTTAGGAACCCAAATAAACCAAAAGACACAACCACAAAGAGAGGATTGAAAATCTACTTCTTTTACAACCTTCATGCAAATAATTTCAACTAGAAAGGTCATTTAGAGAATGCAGAAGCTACAAATCAAACAACAACATTTAAGACAGAGAAAGAGTAAGAGAGAGTCCTGCCCTAAAGTGAAGGAACTAAAGAACCTTCAATGTTGCCCCTCCTCCTATGTATATCTTCTCCATTCGAAATTCCCATAGAGCATAACAAGACATGAGTAGCAATCTGATGTATCCTTACGTCAAACAGGAATAACACATATTATGCAATTTTTTTTTCCAGATTCACATTTTTCATCATTTTAGTATCCAAGTATGAAGGCAATGTAACAGCAAAAATATATCATCAGCTTTTAGCATTAGCCATTACCCACATTTTGACAACAAAATGCTGACAGATTTTTGCCTAACCATGAAAATACAAGCAAAAAAGATTAAGACAGCCAAAAATTATAAACTTTGGATCAAAATACACAGTTCAGAGTAATCACACCAAAATCAAAAGTGATAATGAAGCTCAGAAAATAGACAAACATACAAGTTTTGCACAAATTATTATCGGGAAACCACAATCTGTATAATAACCATGTGTATTGACTTTGACGAAAACAACCATGAAATATGGTGAGAAAACAAATTGAGGGATTAATGGTCCTTAAAAGCTGAAAGCAAACATCTACAGGCACAAGATCAGTATGAAACATCATTCACAATCTTACTGTTCAATGCAAGCACATCATCTACTGAACCTTAACTTGTTTTCTACGGGTATTATTCACAATTCTGGCCTCTAAGACAGCACTGACCCTCATACTTAACCCCTTTAGCAGCCCTAATTCTTCTCATAATTTCCCATCTTCTGATCTTAATTAAAACTGAAAAATCAACCCCAAAACTCTAATCAACATACCATCCTACTCCTACATCAAGCCAATTTCTCATCAATTTGGTGAAACACCTGCACCACTATAACCAACCCCTCATTAATTTGGCATCAAAGCTTAAAGTTTTAATATTATATTTTCACATTATAGCAGATCCTAGGATGCACCTAATGGGACACAAAAGGTTCCACAATCTGAAAGGAAATTTGCCTAAGTTATAATGCATGAGAACTTTGAATAGTCATCAATCGTGTAGGGCATGATGTTGGAAACTAATATAAAGACAGAAGAAAAAAGCCACTGCCACTAGTCTATTGTTCAAGGTGCACTTAAAACAAGTTTCTATAGTTGACTATCATTCCAGACAAAATTCCCTTATTGGATTGAAAGCACAGCCACTATAATGTCATCATACCTGCCATCTATAACAAAGAGCCCGACCTTTTACTCTAAAGCAGAGGGTGAAAGAATTAGCTTAGGAAATATACTATTTCCACATTTCAAAACTTAATGCTCAGTTTTCTCCAAGGGACAATAATGCACTCAATAAAAATGTCAAGAAGAGTAAGATTAAATTTTTCGACTTATGGTCTTTCTCATATAGGATGGACTTAGGACCTTATGTAGGTTAGAAGACAGTATTAGATCACAATTTTTATGTTTCTTTAATTTAAAAGCTAGAAGCTTTTTTTCCTATGTTTTTTTTCAGTGATAAACGTCAGGTATTCTGGTCTTTTCTTCATTTTCTGGGAATTCTGAGCCTCTAGGGATCATAGTTTAGGTCTTTCTCATGTTACAAGGTTTTTATTTATAATTGAATAGTTATTAAGCTGATTCTCATAGTTTATTGGATTTTTGGTTCTTGGGCAAATAGGATTGTGAGAACACTATGAAAAATTATTCAATTTCTTTAAATTAATAGATAACACAAGTTTAGAAGAATGTCAGCAACCATAAGACTCTTTGGGATTATATGAAGCAACACTAACCACTAACCCAGTGTATTTAAGCACAGATCTCTTATTTGTTTTCTTTTGTTTCCAATTCAGTTTCACATTTTAAAATCAACCCTAAACCCTTACCTTTAAGCCCTAAACTCATCATCTACCAAAACCTAATCAACATAAGAAACCTACCAAATTTCAATCCTAACCCTAATTTATTATTCAAAGGTACTGTTTAGAGTGCTAGGACAACACCAAATAACTTTTACGAACCATTAATTTTCCACCCAATTCAACATTAGGCTAAACTGATCAAAGGTCCAAATTCTTCTCATAACTTCTCATCTATTTGGCCTCAATTAATCCTAAGAATCAATCCAAAAACACTTAGCAACTTAACAAAATACATCAGCATTAGTTCTTGTCAATTTTATGCAGCCCTACTAAGTGTCCCATATCATGTGTATGCATGAGTATACATATGAGAGAGAAATTTTCTCAAAAGGATAAGCTCAAACTAAACCATAATGGAATGATCATTTAGGGGAAAAAATTGAACTACGATCAACAGGCATAAAACCTAATTTTCAAACTGGAAATAAAAATTGTGAGAATTTTTTTATGCATTACTAAATTTACCAATAACAAGCTCCAAAAAATTAGACTGAAGTAAGAGAAATCAAAGGCACTACATGCCTAGTTAAAGCATTTTATTCAAAGGAACACCTGCTCAGTAGTTTTTATTCACATGGAAGGAAGGAAACAAGTGATTTCCAAGCTTGTGCTCTCAAATAAGATGAATAAAGTTGATGAAGTATTCAAGTTGGCATCTTAGTAATGGACCAGGCTTCTTCTGACATCTAAATTGCAGGCTGCCTCTTTTTATTGAACTTTGATGTGGTTGTATAACAAGTAAGCATTTTCTGCCTATTTTGCCCCCATATGTATAGAGTTTGAGCATCCATTTATTGCCCTCAGAAGGAAACCTTCTATCACTTGAATATTTGGGATGGATGTGTCTTTTGTGTGCAATCAAGAAAACTATGTATTTTTGGAAAAAGATACGGAAGCTCCAGAAGCATCAACCTTCCATCATTTTGGTGCAAGTTCCAAACAGTTGGTCCAGCCAGAAAACCAGTCAATATCAAACATACTTGAAAGAACTATAAGTTAAACTCTACTAGAATCTTTTGAAAGCATAAGATGTCAACTAGAAAGATCTAAACTTTAGTGGGCACCTACAAGCTGACAAAAGACTGAAGAGGGAAGACAACCAGAGCTGTTAGTTCCAAGAATACCATCCAAAATACTAAACAGCACGTCCATCTTAAGCAACGGAGAATTCTCTAGGAGGTCACCAGTATACACCAAAGTCCAAACACACTTACAACCTAAGACAAAAGTAGGAAGAAGATCATACCAAAAATAGCAATCATAATAAAATTAATCAATATCAACCAACATACAGCCTTATGAGTTTGAGACAGAGAGTTGGAACCACAAATGAACAAAAGCACACTTCTGAGCATTATCATGAAAAAAGAAAGCATTCTATAAAATACCCATGACTAACAATTTTATAAAATGATACATAACAAAAACGAAAGAGATACTTGGCACAAAACTCTTCTAGCATGATAATTCCATATCACAAAAGGCAAAACAACATATAGTACAAATTGTCATTGTCACTAGCTATGTTTACACAACAAAAGCAGCAGCAGCATAATTTTCAACTTAGTTTGCCCATTCTATATGCAATACTCCAGGATAAAATCTATAGCAGCTTACCAACAAGAAAATAATCTTGCATCCAGGCCTGCCACTGTAAAAAAAAAAAAAAAGAAAAGGAAGTTTGAACTAGGAGTCACTTGGCCTTAGTCAGCAGCCAGTTCTTTTCGCTTCAACTCTAATGCCATTTGCTCATTCTCAAGCTTCATCTTCTCATTTTCCATTCTCATCTTTTCAAGTTCACGATCCCTTTTCTTACTAAATCTCTGCCACTTGAAACGTTGTTTCTCCAATTCTAGCATCTCGACTTGAATTTGTAGTTTCTGTTCTTCTAGCTGAAGTGAGCGAGACTCAATCCATTGCTTCTGTAACCAAGCAGCTCTTGGATTGTCAGGTGGTACTTGATTCATATCAGCTTGGGTGACTGGTGGATAGGAAAAAGAACTTTTGTTGCAGTCCTGAGAGTTTAAAGGATTCCGGAAACAAGCATCTTCATTTACCTGGCCTTGTTTTGACCTCTTTGCAGAGCCCCCTAATACCCCATACATTACCCTCTTATCCCCATGTGAAGCATGATCCTCCTCAAATTCATCATGATCATCTGTTTCCATATCATGATCATCATCATCATCATCATCAAGATCATCATGTTGATGCCTCCTTGCATCATCATTCTCATTATCATCTCTACTTCTAAGAGCCAATTGCAAGGAATGCTGCAATTGTGGATCAGGAGGCAGATGCAATCTGTTCCCATTATGATAAGAACACATCTCCTCATAGAAAAGATGCTTTGAGCTTAAAATTTTCCTCACATCATCCTTTTCTTTCTCTGTTAAGTAACCTATAACTTCCAAAAGTGATGGTTTCTCAACAACCTGACAAGAAGTTCCCCTACCGAGCATATCATTTAGTTTCTTATACCTTTTATTCAGGTCATTGAACTTATCCTCACACTGCTGAGGTGAAACATGATAACCCCTCTCAGCCATGACTTTTGACACTGATTTCCACTTACCCTTCTTCTGTAAAACTGCAAATTTCCTCCTCATCCCACCACCATATTCCCCCACTACATCCTCTCCTATATAAGACACTGCCGTAATTAGAAGTCTCACCATTTTATCAGTCCACTTCACACGCTGCCATGGAGATCCCTTCTTGCCTTTAGTTCCATCATTGTGACCATCAACACCCTCTTCTGTAAAGCTTGGTTCATCCTCATCACTCAATGAACTTTTCCCTCTCCCCCCCTTGTTGTAATCTATCATTGAAATGGTTTGGTCACAATTTTGCAAGGTCCCCATTGTAAGTGGAAAACCCTCATGAATAGAAGGATGGACAGAAGCACCTTGGCGAGGGTTAGGGTGGTGATGATGATGTATATTATGTGGGTGTTGCGCATGATGATGAACTCTCATTGATCCTTCTAAGTCAAGGCCTCCATAAGAGCCCCCATCAGGAATCATTCCTCCTTGTGATAAATTGCCTTCCATTACTTCTTCCAAGCAAACAGTTATGTCATTCCATCAACTTATTTCCCCTTAAACCCTAGTCTATAAATATTATTACTTGCTCCTATCTGTGATTCAACCACTAAATAAACCAATATCAAGCATGATCATTTACTGTTTTTCCCTTTTAAGACATTTGCAGCTACCAACCAAGCCAATCAGAAGATCCAAAAATACCCAGCTCATCAAACTAAACAAGCATCCATTAACAGATTTCTACCCCTAAGAACAAATCTCACAAAGAAGAAAACTTGATATATCCAATAAAAACCCACCTTCAAAATCACCCAAAAAGTAAAGAAAAAAGCCACCCAACATCAATATTCATCTGACAGATAAACCAAACAAGATAAAATCTTAGCTTATCTCCACAAAATCTCTAATACCCAGAAATCCAAAAACAAAAAAAAAAAAAAATGGAAAAAGAAACTTTCCTGAAATTAAGGCCAGAATCCAGGAGTTGGAATCATGAATACTCTGCTCAGCCTGAGTTCATTAAGGTACCCAAAACGAAAACTGTAGCAGAAAATTTTCTATTAGTTGCCAAAGAATTTTATATGTGAGCGCTTTTGGTTTTAGTGTATCGCTCCCTCTATCCCATAATGCTGCCCACATTTAATTTTTTTTATAAAATTGATGTATCATAATTTTTAACATTAAAAAATAAAAATTCATGAAAAATAATTTTAAAATATAAAAAATAAAAGAATTAGATGTTAAAAAAATAACAAACAATGAGACTGAAAAAATTGTTTAAAAAAATTACAAGTTCAATGTATGGGGGAAAATCCAATGGGGTCAATTTGATTATTGCAATAGTAATAGATATAAACATAAACATATTTGAATTTGTTATGACTAGCAATTTGAGTTGTGACCATGTTGTGTATATATTTGAATTTGATTATTATAATAAATATAAACATAAATAATTAAATATATTGTAACAAAAGTAAACTTGATTGAAACCTTAATATATATTTTTATTAGAGATTAGAATGTGCAAATTCATGTGTGTTGGACTCTTTAGGGGCATCACCAAATATGGAGAATAATAATAATATATTGGCCCAATGGGCAAGGATTGTGTACAAGTTGAGATTTGAAATTCAATGTCCCTCTTGCTTTAGAATATAAAATAAATTGTAAATTCTTAAGACAAGAGAATAATTTTAAACTGTTTTCCTTCAACTTTATACAAGCTGTATAATAAATTAACAAACAAAAATTGATAAGATTATTAAAATTATGTATGTCTCTTTCGAGTCAAGTTGAAGAAGTTTCTATGTGAGATAATGAACTCTTGTGTAATAAGCCAATAAGTTAGGTTTGGTAGACAATTCTTGCCATTCTAGTTACTTGGATGACTAAAATAAGGAATTCATTTTGCCATTCTCAACTAAGTTTTTCCTTCTTCCTTTTTGTCGTCATTGTAATTTGTAGACTATTGCTAGTTCTATGATTGGAAATAAATAGAATATTTTTACAAATAATTTATAAATTGATTGAATTTTTATTTATTTACATTCGTTTATTAAATTAAATAGATAATTTAAAATAAAATTTTAATGCTCATTTAATAAAAACTAGCCCATCTCGAATATTAATTTGTTTAACTTATTTATGTTTTATAAAAAAAAAAAACTCATTTAAAACTCTAGTTTATTGTTCGATAATAATAAATTTATATTTTATTATATTTTAGTTATTATTTCATTGATTTATTAATATATTTATTAAAATTTTTAATTGAATTATTTTTTGTCTGTGTGTGTAAATTTACTTAAATATAATTTATTTATTATTCATAAACATATAATTTTAATTATTTACCAACACATTCGATTATATGTTTGTAAATATATTTATTTAATATTTATAAACAAATTTATTTAACTTAAACAAATCAAGCTCAATTATATCTCATTTTAAACAAGCTGAATCTTCTATCAACATGAATGATCTAAAACAATTTTAAAATTAAACAAATAATCACAAATAATTTATTTAAATTCAAGTCGTTTATAACTTTAAGCGTTTCTTTTCTCATTACCATGTGTGGATGATATATTAGGAACTTTTTTTTTTTTTTTTTGCTTCCTTTATTTTTAATATGAGGAGGTTTAAAAATTTAAAAAAATGATGAAAATACTTATATAAATTAGTAGTAGAAATCATAAATACTACTAAAAAACATAAAATAAAATAAAAAAAGCTATAAATGTAGTAATGGCTTCCCATGATGCTTGTGTCATACGCAAAACTTGGACCAAAGGCCTTGGTCACCCGCCAGCCAACCCCTTTGAGGGTGTAACGAGATACAGCTCCTAGGATAAAAAAACCATGGACTCTGTTTCTTTCTTTTCCTATGGTTATAGCTTAAAAAATATTGTACTAACTCTTTTTTTTCTTTCTTTTTTATTTATGAAGATTTAATTTTTAGAAAAAACTAAATTCAAACATAACTCTTTTAATTGAAATATCTATATTTTATGATTAGATCAAATTCACAAAGAAATAAGAAATAAATTTTAACTGTTTTAGAATTTGTGGTTTGATACTCGAATTTATGAAAATCATAATTTAAAAACTTAAGGAGAAGATTGATTAAGTCAAAAATCACCTTCAAATGGTTTGCATCTATCTAAATGATCAAATAGTAGTTTGATATCTATCTAAAAAAATCTACTTGGAATGGATTGCTAACATATATTTACAAATAATAGTCTTGTATCCATTCAAAACCTTATTCTCCTATAAGCATAGGCAACAATAGAATATTTTAATTAAAAAAAACTAGATTTTTGCCCTCGAAAATGTCAAGACTGATAATGTTTTGTCAAATTTTATTTTATTATATTTATTATTTTTTTTATAAAAAATATATTTATTTTTTGAATATAAATAATAAATATATTTTATAGTAATTTTCATGTGATATTTTTTTTGATATATTATATAGATTTACAATAATTTAATAAATAGTTAAATCTTATATAATTAATTTAATATGTAATTTAATGGAGGTATTATAGTAATTTCCATGAAGTAATGGTAAGGGTATGTTGGTAGTTTCATATGTAGTTAAATTTATATCTTGTTAAAATTTAATAAAAATATTATAATAATTTTTGTCTTACGGTAAATGGGACATTCCTATAATCATGATATAAAGGGTATTATCATAATTGTAACTAATCATGGTAGGAGAGTATTTTTATAACTATTGTAAGAGAAGTATTATAATATTTTTGACAAATTATGTTAGGAAGGTTATTTTCGTAATTATGATAAGATAACATTATAATAATTTTGATTAATTATGGAAGAATGGGTATCATAGTAATTTTAGACACCTATCAACTATTAATCATTTAATTGAAGGGACATTATAATAATTTTCCTATGAGATTACTTTTAACATATTATATAAGTTTATTTTATTATAGTAATTTAATATATAGTTAAGTTTTATGTAATTTTTATGAGCAATGGTAAGGATATTTAGTAATTTAAAATGTAATTAATTTTATATTATGATAAAATTTAATATGTAATTTAATAAGGATATTATTATAAATTTCAAATAAAACATCACATATCATTTTGTGATTATAGTAGGTGGGTTATCATAATAATTTTGACCAATCATGATAAAAGAGATATTTTCGTAATTATAATAAAATAGAAATTATAGTAATTTTAGCATAGGAGCAAAGGTATTATTATATTTTTAGGCTCATGTCAAATAATTAGAGGGATAATATAGTAATTTCAAGAGATTACTTTTAATTATAGTAGGTCAATTATGATAAAAGAGATATTTTTATAATTATCGCAAAAGATTTTATAATAATTTTAGATAATTATTGATAATTATGATCAGTGGTGGATTTTGACATTTACTTTAGAGTGGCAAATTAATATTATATCTTTTTTATAAAACTTATTTTATGAATTCTATCATATATAAAAATCAAAATTAGAAGATATTATATTAACTTGAAAATTTACATGTATAATGGATATGAATAAGCTGTTAAATATGACATTTGATTTGTAAAAATATTAATTCTACATAAGGTAATAAAAGGAGTGTAAAACAATTTCCATCGGTGTAAAACAAATTTTCTTTCACACACACATATATAGATATAAAAAAATATACTGATAGAAATAATATGTTTATAAAATTATAAAAATATTAATATGACAATATTAAACTTAAAAAAAAAAAACAAGACTTTCAGTTACTCAAACTTTTTTTTATTATTATATTTTTATTCTTTTGGTAATTTACAATTGAATTAGAAAAGCATAAACAAATCAATATTTAAGTAACATATATTTTTTTTATCGAAGTAAGAAAATAAATATACTTTCAAAATAATAAAATTAACTCTTGAGATTAGAAGTTGTAGTTTTTTTAAGCATTTTATAAAGCGGTTTTAATTTAATTTTATTTTTTAAGATTATAAGATGAGATAAAAATTTAAAATAAAAATAAAAATAATATACGAAATGAAAAAATTATAGTAAGTTAAAATAAGAAAAAGAAAGACACATGTATGTTTATTATTTAATTGGAGATTTAGAGTTTTGTTTAAAAAATTAATTTGATTTTTATTAATTTTACATTATTATAATTTAAAACTTACCAATTCTTCACATCTTATTAGATATAAAAATCTAAAATTTAACATGACAATCACTTTTAAGAGATATATCAAATATGTATGTGTTTTAAAATTTAACACATGTAATTTTTTTTTTATCCCCAAACTGTGATTTTTTTATAGAAAAAATTAACAAATTTTGGATTTTTTTAATTTACTATATGAAAGCAAAAGGGTTGAACCCTTTTGGGAACAAAATGCAAAAAACTGAAAGTTAAGCTTAAAATTGTAAAAAATTGAGCTTGGCCCATTTGAGAACCTAAAAGGCCAAACCCGAAAAATCTGAAAACCGACAATAGAGTTAAATCGGGTAAAACGGGTTCTACAAAATATATTCGGGTCCTTAGTTCTTTCAAGTAGAAGTATTTTATTTTTTGCAGCCAAAACCCTTCGTTTACTGTAGTGTGGAAGAAAGGAACAAACGAGAGAAAGCGAATGGCCAGCGAGGAAGAGAGCGCGGTGAAGGAGCCTCTGGATCTGATAAGGCTTAGTCTCGACGAGCGTATTTACGTTAAGCTCCGTTCTGACCGTGAGCTCCGTGGCAAGCTCCATGTACGTTTCATTTTTACACTTTAGGGTTCCCTTTTCAACCACTTTGAATGTTTAATGTTCAAATCCTTTTTTAGGATTCCTTTAAACTCTAGGGTTCTTTTGGGGTCTGTTGATTTAGCTTGTATCAGTTAGCCCTTGAGGATATTGCAATGTTTGTGTTCATTGTTTATGAAATGCTGTCAATTGCATGACTATACTTGAAAAATGTTTAAAGTCTAAACAGTTTGAATCAAAATATTGGGTGTCTTTTTTCCCCAAATTCCTTGACTGTCTTGTCCAATTTATATGCTGCAATGATGCATATTTTTGGGTACTGAGTAAATATTTTGAATCTTTCCTTTTCTTATTATGGACAGCTTGAAATGAAATTATTGTTTTGTTAGGCATGTTAGTCAATTTATTCGATACTTGTTAAATGTAAAAGACTAAAAGCTTATTTATGACACATGATACCGGTAATCTAAGTTATATTCTAGTCTTTTTTATCGCTTGATTCTTCTGCCATGTAAGTCCGTCTTTGTTTGTTTGAATTGGTACCTGATATCTGTTGGTCATACCATTTTAAGCTGCTGTCTGTTGTATCAAATCAGTGTGTTTTTAAAAATTTAAATGGAGTTATCATGTTGGTCAACTCCAACTTCATTTTCCTTTATATTTCCTTCCTCTCTCCTTTCACGGAAGTCTATGTGTTTATATCTTCCCTTATAGTGTTTGTGTAGACGGCTAGTCATATTGGGGGTTGGATAAAATGGAATGTTGGCCTAATCTGAACGTGTACAACATGATTTTGTAATTTTGATAACATCCTTTCACTGGTTCACTGGAGCTCATGGCCATTCATTGTTATGATATTATTTTAGAGTCTATATACCGTGGTATTGCAAATGAGTTTAATTCTTGGGAAGAAATTATGAAAGTATGTCTAATTCGAGCCATTTTACAATCTCAAGTGTAGGCAATGATATGAATACAAATCACTGTGATTATCTGAAAAAGAGTTTGCCGTGCTTAATAATATTAATGCAGAATTATATTCTTAGTTCTTGCCAATAGATTGGCCATAACATTTAGAAGCTTGTAGCTCTTCAGTGTGATGCCTAGTTCTTTTCTAATTTTGCTTGCAGGCTTATGATCAGCATTTGAATATGATTCTAGGGGATGTTGAAGAGATTGTTACAACAGTTGAAATAGATGATGAAACCTATGAAGAGATTGTTCGGGTAGGTTATTATTTCACTGTTCCTGTCCCACAAATTTGGAATGAGTATTAATTGTTTTGAAAGCTAATATTTGAACAAGCAATAATAGTTGAGTTTGATAAGTTTTGGCTGTTGTGATAATTCGTAGCTTAAGAGCTCTGATGTTGGTATAGTTAAGCCCCATATTTGCCATGAAAAATGCTTGCATTTTGTTTTATTAGATGTTGGCATTTATAAAGCCGTTTAATTTTTCATTCGAATTACAAAATTGTTTAACTTTTAATCAAAACTTGTTTCTACTTTCATTAGAGGAAAAGTTCTTCCTTCACACTCATACTGGCTTGTTGTAATTAGTTTTGACTATGATTCCTTAATAGGATACTAATGCAGGAAGGAACACATTTAAAAGTTTTTGTCCAGCGATGAATAGAATTAACTCATTTTTTCTTGGTATTGCAAACATCTGGATTTGCAGCTGAAGCAAACATTAACTTCTCTATTGAGCTTAAGATTTTCAAGTGAAATGAATATCTGATTGGATAAAAAAAAAGAAATTTAGAGTTTGTTGTTTCATGTTTTTCGATTATTACCCTATTTTCCCCCTGTTTCAGACTACAAAGCGCACGGTTCCATTTCTCTTTGTTAGAGGGGATGGAGTCATACTGGTTTCTCCACCTCTACGGACTGCTTGATTAGGAGAATGAAGTTCCTAGCACACTTTCTGGGAAGGAATCACCTTTTGTCAAATTTACTACTAAGCTGCTGTTGCTGTATCGTTGAACCCTCTAAAAGATTATTGTTAAATATTGAGGGAACTGTGGAATATTTGCACTTTTTTCTATCATTACAAAATAGACTTTGTTGATATACGTGTATGATCTACTGTTTCAAGCTCATCCTCTTGACAGAAAGGGATAATGGACCGACCAATTTCATTGTTTGCCTAAGTTGATAATGTAGACCATTTGGACGTGAAATGCTATATATTATTAGGCAAGAGCGACTACTTACGATGACCAGTGCTGGGGCTGAAAGAAAGAAATTGGTTTTAACTATAGATTATACTTCATTTCATGGTTATTAATTGATCTGAGCTCTGCAGCTCAGAGATGATTAAATTGGCAGAGTCAGTGTGCAATTTTCAGGATCATTGTGCTGGAGGTACGCTTTTTTCTTTTTTTTCAAGTCTGTTAATAGGGCTATCTCAACATGTCACCCCGAATCTGCTTTGTTGGATCAATAATAGTGTGAAACGCAGCACTTGGGGCCAGACTACTAGCACCAAAGTATCCAATCAAAGAAACTACAAGAAAAACTTTTGGCAAGAGAGTGAGAATAACTAGCCGAATTAACGCAGCTAACCTGGAGAATTGCTACAAGTTTTTAATTTATTTAAAAGTTGCTAGAAAGTAAAAAAAATAATCATTTTATTTATTTTTAAGCAATTATTTTTAAAAATAAACAGATAGTGTATAATATAATATCAATATGGATATAACCAAACCATTTAGAAGTCAAACACAGGATATAACTTGGTTGATTTTAATAAATTTAAAATTTAAATTCTAATACTTATTAGTAAGAGAGATTCTTGGGTTGTTGGTGTTATTTAGTGCAGGCGGGTAAGGTCAGCACAAATCTTTTCATTTGCATTTTCCTAGAAAAAAGCTAACAAACAAACCTAAGCCACCCTGGCTTCTGTATCTCCGCACAAAGGTAACATTCCTTTTTCGATCTTCACATTTTTTTTCTTTATTTGCTACACTAGATCAGTTAAATTTCCCAGTCTTTGTGAGTATTTTTTATTAGATTTTATCATCATCATGAAAAAAACTTGTTTTCCCATGTTTTCTTGCATTTTTATCGATGACGTTATTCCTTGTGCTGTAAACAAACGAAGAGGGCAACCTTGGCATTGAGGGTGCTAAAGAAATTACCCTAATATGTGAGTTGTTTTTTTTTTTTTTAATTTTTATTATTATGAAATTTGGGAATAATCTTGAATGCTTCTGATTAGGATTGCTTTGTTAATGTTGGTGATCTTAAATATATAAGAATAGTCGACTAGGCTTGAGTCAAAGATGACATAACTACTTATAATGTATTGCTGAAATACGGTTTCTTCATGATTTTAGATTGTGTTGGCAAAATATTTCTTAACTTGATAAGTGGTGCAGGGCTGATGAGGGGCCAGTGGATCAAAAGAAATATCTTGAGGATATTTGCAAATCCGATTGTGCAAAGCCTATGCATGATTATGCGGTGAAGCATTTTCTCACTTATAATTGCATGTTCATTTTCTTTTATCTTTCCACTTTACCTGCTAATTATATAAAAAGTTTATTTTTGATATATTATTAATTTTTTTTTAATTTCACAAGCGATAAAAAAAACTAACAAATATTTTACTTTTTTTTAATTATTTTTTAATGCATCTTAAGATATATGTGTTTTTTAGTTAATTTTATTTATCACATTTAAAAACTCCATTATCGATGATCAAATAATTTTTCTTATACAAAGACAACTGAACATGTCTCATAGCTCCACAAATTAACATGTTTTTATAAAAAAGTTGGCAAAGTAAAAATAGCTTGAATCTCTCCTCCCTTGACTCAATTATCCAAAAGAAAAAAAAAATCATCAAATCATATTAAGGTGGCTATTTGCTGTGAATGGTTTTATGTTGGTTAAATTTTATGTCATCCATATGTAATAGAAATATAGAATTTGTTCAGAATCAGATTTCCCTATAACCAAACTTTTGTTTTTTTTTTTTTTTTTAATCTTTGAATTAAAATTTGTCATTAAAAGTTAGTGGTTTTTGTTTGGTAATTACTGAAATGGACTTCAGAGTTCTTGTGTTTTCCCCGAAATCAACGCTAAAAAGAGAAAAGAAAAAACTTTATAAATGTAAGTTTATTTTTATTTATTGCAGGAATGTATGAAGAGGATTTCAGGTGATGATACAGGAATCAAGCACTGCACTGGACAATACTTTGACTACATGGCTTGTGTTGATAAATGCGTAAATTGTCTCATACCATTGTTACTAACTATTAACAATGTATGCTTTATTTTGGTTGCTCTTCTTCTTAAACTTATTGTAATTGTGAATGCAGGTTGCCCCAAAGCTATTTGCAAAGCTGAAATAACTGGGAGCTCGCTACTTATATTAAGGATGCCTTTTCTCCAATTTGTTCTTCACATGCCCTTATATTTAATAATTTTAGCCTAATCTTTATTTGGTTAAATTTGTAGCAGCATTGGTTGTAATTCTTCCGCTTTGAGAATCTTCTCCTTTAAAAGTTTTTTTCCAATAAGAATAAAAGATCTTTCCTATTACCTATACTAGTTGTGCAAAACTTAACTTCGCACGGTTTGTTACAATAATTTTTTAATAATTTAACCATAAAAAAATTTATTACACTAAATACTCAATTTGAGATTAAACATTTGAATAATTGTTCAATTCAAAATTAAGAGTTTTAATTTATACAAATAATAATAAAATATATTCGAATATAACAATTAAAGACACGGATGGATGAAGTTTGACGAGTGTATAACATGCTCCATTAATTTTGTCAAATGGCTAATATTTTTACGAAATAAGTTGACAAGTAAGATGATTATGTGTAAAAGATTTAAGAAAAATTATAAAAATTCATTTAATTTCTTTCTGAGTTTCCTAGCAACCAAACATTCTTCCTAGAATACATTCTTTCCCCTCACATTTCTACATTCTTGTCAAAATATATGAAAATACCACAGAAAATCTTCAAGCAACTACTACTAGAAAACTCATCAAAGAGGAATAAAATTTTAAATTTAACACAAAACAAGAAATACCCATCAATCAAACATAAAAATCACAAAGTATTCCTAAAAAAATCACAATGAGTAAAAAAGTTTTAAGCTTTCTTAAAAATCTTTGAAGTTAATACCTTTAAAACACTTAAACTAAACTAAAATAAATAAAACTTACCAAATTGATAAAAATAAAGAACACCCATAAATTGAAAATTGAAACCAAAAAACCTAAAAGGAGATTCCAAAAATAAAGGTCAGAAAAAAAAAAAAAAAACACAATCAAGAAACCTTTAAGAAGTAGGTACTACACAAAACACAAAAATGAAGGGTTCAAGTGAGAAAACATCACAAAAAGAAACTGAGTTTTTCATGGGTAACTCAATTGGTTAATTTGATGTTTGCAAAGAAATAAAGCAAAGAAAAATTTTGAAATTTTTGGAATTTATTTGTTTAATTGGGTAAAATTGTTAAGGGTAAGAAGGTTTATTTCGAGAAAAAATTGAGAATAAAGGAAAATAAGAGGTTGATAGGTATGAGAGAAAAATCTCTTGTAGTCATAATGTGAATTACAGAAGTAAAAAATGAGAGTGGAGAAGGGTTTATTTCTTTTTTTTTTTTTTTGGTTAGTAAATTTTGATTTGATAATTTTTTAACTGAATACTAAAAAAAGATCTAAATCAGCATTAAAGTGCCAGGTCAATTAGCTTTTAATTTTTTCACACGTTATTGTTGTGCGTATCATTCATGGCACAGTTTTCATTGAAACAAATCTACATTATTATTACAAGTTGATAATGTTTAATTTTTATTTGTACAAGTTAAAACATTTAATCCATTGAACAACCGTCCAAACATTTAATTCCAAATTGAGTATTTAGCCAACTTATTAATAGTCAATGGAAGCTCAAAAAACCCAATGAAGGTCTTTAATTCTTTTAAGTTTTATTTGGTTTAAGTTTTTGGCAAAGCATATAGCAGCTTAGGTTACAACAATCTTTTAACTTTCCTAAAAATTATTTTAAGTTTCAAAAAACCTAGCGAAACTCAATTCAAACTTGATTTCATTGTCGTCTAAGAAACCATGCTACTCGACTATATTTACAAAAATTGCAACCAAAGAGACATCAAAAGGGAAACCAAAGTAAAATTTCATCTATTTTATTCATTTCAATACTTGTCATCAATATCTTTATCTTCTTCCCCATCATCATCAGAATCCATCTTGAAACTAATCTTAAACTTTTTGACATCCTCCAATGCCACAGTACTAAACAATACATATATGCATACATATGTATAGGCATATACACATACACCTAGATATACACATACATACGTACATACATACATACATGTATTCATATATATTAATATTGTTTATTGGAATGAATCATTGGTTGAAAAAGGAAAAAAGATAAATTTTATTTCAACTCACCTCAACCTGATTCTACATGGATTGGACATAATTGATTATCTTATATAATATTAGTGCCATGCCCATGGTCTGTAGATTATCAAACACAGTAAGTCAAACATTGTTCTTTAAATTTTGCTACTTTCATTGTATTGTACATGCTGTAATTTGAGATATCAGCAAAGCTTGGGAATAATACATTTTCCTTGTAGAGAGAAAAACATTTACCTTGTATCTTGATGTTTAATCTTGAAAAAATAAGGTATATGTTTAATTTTGAAAAAAATGAGGTATGTGTTTAATCTTAAAAAAATGAACAAATTCCAATATCTTGATGAGAAAGGAAATGAGTGTAGATACCCAATTTTGTCTGGCTTGACTTGAATTTGTTCAAGTTTTAAATTTGATTTTAATATTTCAATTTGGGTTAACTTAATTGAATTTAATTAAATTAAACTTGTCCAGGTTTGTCTTAGGTTAATTGTTTTCAAATTGATTTGCATAATTTAAAGTTTAATCTAATTTAATTCGAGTCGATTTAGCTTTGTTTGGGTTAAGACTTGATTTAATCGGGATTAATTCAAAATCTAGCTATTTGGGCTTAAAGGCCTGATAAAGGCCCAAAATTTGAATTTTAAGTTCTAATTAAATTTCAAAGCTGAATTTTATTGTTTTATTTTATTATACTTATCTTATTTATTTATTACATTAATTAAAAGATGAAAAAAAACTAAAAAAAAAAGAAATGTAAGAAATAAAAAAATAAAACATGAAGAAGTGGTTGCCGTCACAACAAGCCAAATGCCTAGGGCTTTCCACAGTGCACCAACCACTACCCATGCACACCAAGCTAACATCACACACTCTTCAATCCTTGTTCCACCACTACCCTGCACTCAATTACTTTATGATTCTAAAAGTTTTGGATTGATTACGAAATGCCAGATTAAAAATCAAAGGAAACAATAATTTTAAATAAAAAAAAGATCTTTATTCAAAAGGCCCTAAAATACTCCCACGAAGCCCTATTCACCTAGCCTATTTCCCTTAGCCTTCAACCATAGAGAACCTCACTAAATAACCAACCCTGGTACCTATTCACCTTCAAACTCAACCCCACACCCATTAGTACCCTTCATTTTAAGACCCAATCGTCGAGCACCCATTTGCACCCTCAGCCTCGCACTAGGTACCAATACTCATTTTTACCGACCTCAAAATCATGCCATATCCACCAACCCCTCACCCATACCATACACTTAAGAACCAGCCCTGGTCTCCACCATTCCCTGGGACAACCACATCACTTTAAGCACCAGATATAGCCAATCTCGTCTTTCATTTTAAGGCACGTGCAATTATATTCCATCATATATCCATGAACAATTAAATGTTCAAGTTCTTATTCACTTACAGTAGTAGTCATCTCAGTGTAGTCTTGCTTCATGGATGTTGAATACCTATCTTTTTTCCCTCTTGCTGAACACCCATGATAGATGAACTCAGTTCCATAGCACCATTATTTATGTGCAAAAATTGTAGTGAAACAATTAAAAGACACCTTTGAACAAAATCCAACTAAGAGATAAAATATCTTATAATGATTCTTTTCCACTGAAAAACATAGAAACACTGATTATCTCAAAGATTTCAACATTACAATTTTGATTTAAAATCTCTTTTGTTAGATTTCTATTTAACCAACTAATTTAGATTACAAAGCAAATAGTTATTTCGATTGACTTATAAGGCAAAGAACTTTGTATTTAAACCCTTTGTCAGTTATAGGATCTGCACAATTTAAAGCCATATAAGGATTGCTATAGCGATATAAATCATGACATAAGGATTCATAAATATTAAATAATATTTTTACATAGTAGCACAAAAGAAATAAGGATTATAAAGTCTAATGACTAAAATCTTAAAAGGAATAAATTCATAACCAAACTTAAAAGAGAATCTAGAATAGTGGGGTAAAGCCAATAACTTTGAAAAACTTACTATCTCAGAAAGTCACACTAACTGTATGAAATCTAAAGTATTTGGCCTTACATTGTAAGCATAAGGTATTTCACTACTTGCAACTTGCCAAAGAAACAATTAACATGGGACATGATGCAAAGCTAAATAATGATAAATTAATAAGAGATAATGGGAACTTGATTAATAAAAAAGTTAGTAAGAAGAACCTTAGTAGAAAAAATTTTGACTTCTCAATTGTCAATCTAGCAAAAACTTTTTGTTTTCCCTCAGTACTATTAGGAATCTGCATTGTACAATCAAATCAAGGCTTTTTTAAATTTGAAATGAAACCAAGACTAGTTTATGCCTATAAGTAAAATAAATTACATTTAAGTATTAAAATCAATTGAAGGTTAAAGACTCAAAGTTGTGTAGACATATAAACCCTTGGCTTATATGATTTAACACCTAATATAATTATTTCCCAACCAAAAAGTATATGAGAAATCCACTAAACCAAGGAAAAACCAATATATAGGAAAACTAGGAAAGAAGTAATAGAAAAAAAAAAGGAAACAATGACTAGGAGTATAAATTTCATTGTAAGCGTTAAAATTAAAAAAAAAATCAATCAAATGACTATATGAGTCAAAACAGGAATTGAGTGAACTTTGATAGATTCCCTTACTTTAATTTTGACAAAAAACTTCAAGCAACTCAACTCAATAGGCTAGTAACAAATGGAACCAAGATGTTAAAGTGAGGGTAAAATTCAGTTCCTATAAGACTAAATACCTACTTTTACAAGGTAAGCTCAAATTTATACATAACCACTTACAAACAAATTAAGTGATTCGACGAAATCCAGAAGCTTCAAACTTTTTCAGTTGAATATAAAGTTGATCCATAAACTACTTCATGGATACAATATAAAAGGATTTAAAACCATTAAGCCATACAAAAACATGATCTGAACAGCTACTGTAAAGTGTTATCAATTAGTAACGATAAAAAAGATAAATAAGTAATTCATTCCATTTAATATACACCTAAGAACATGGAAAACAAATCAACTTACATTACAAGTACTTAGTGCTTTAAGTGGCATCAATCTCAAACCATTGAGAGCATAATAGCAAGCTAAATAT